TTGAAATAAATTAATTTTTATTTTTTATTCCAGACAAAACTATTCAATTTAAGGTGTTTTTTTTCTATATTGTGATAATCGTAAACATGTTCATGATTAATTAATTGTACCACTTTTACATCGCATGTTGAATTTAAAAACACTGCATTTGCACCTTAAGGTCGATCGTTATAAAGGATATTTTGATGGGAATGATTTAAAGAAGAATATTATCAATCATATACCACGATGAAATCAATTTACATTTAATATTCGTTTATTCAATCGTAGTTCTAATCAAATTAATTTACTATCAAATGAAGATATGCAACATACATTCAAAGATTTTATGAATAATCAAATTCTTTTTTGCGTTGATTATTTTCGAGAAAGCAATATTAGTTATTGTCATATTTATACATATATTCATATAAACTGAAATAATATGATAATATCACAAATAATCTTCCAGATGGATTATTCAATAACGTTCATAAAGTATCATATAATGATGAACGTCCATTTGAATATGAATTTTTTCTTCAAATCGCTCAATCATTTCCATTTATGACAAAATTAACTGTAACTAATAAGAAACCGCAGAAAAATCAATTATACAATAATTCAAAGAACGCCAATCAAGATTTATCAATTATTATTATTATTATATATCCTCATCTTATTCAACTTAATTTTACTCTAGCTCATGATAATTATGTCGAATTATTTTTACTTCACACTAAACTATATTTACCAAATAATATTCGTCTTGATGCCAACTATGAATCTTTGAAAATAGTAACACACAATTTTGAAAGAGATGCAACACGAATCAACTGTGCTAAAGTTAATTATGTTAGCATAGATAATGGTTTTCCATATCCTAAAAATTTTAAAGACTATTCTCTATATGTATATATGCTTAGATTACGTTGATTTCCAACCATTATTTAAATTAAACACAAACAATTACGAATTGCTTTACATAGAATTAAATCATTACAACATAGAAAAGAGAGTACAAGAAAATCATAGTTCTAAATACTTATGAAAGAATATATACTGTTACAGATGAGAATATACTCAAGTTTTTTTGTGCATATTCTTGAGTAAAAACTGGAACGTCGGATAGAGAATATTGTCGATATTGAAAGAAAAAGAAAATATATATGAACATATGTATTAAAATATTTGATAAAAGATTCATTAATTCGTAGAAACTTTGTTCTAAAAATTTCAAGTAAATCAGTTTGGTCTATTCTAAAATTAATGCGCTCATCTGAAAACCAGATTTTACTATTTGATAGAACTTTTCACTGGAGAGAAAATATCTCAATTCATTTTGAAATGATTTTTCAAAGAAACGTTGATCCAAGATAGCGACGATCTTAAGCTTTTAAATGAGTTACTGCGCGCAAATAGACATGCTCAAATAGACGACATATAAAGAAGAGTATATATAGGTAATATTTGATTTATAATTTCGTTTATATGATTGAATACAAGACTGACTGGTTAATGCTTTCAATCAAAGTTCGTTGAGTTCTGATACTAATCAAATGGACAGAGAGAAAATGTTCATGTTCAAATAGTTTTTATCTGCTAATAGTACTTTTTATCAGTACTGTATATGGTATTGATTTATTTCAAAATAGATCAATTGTTTCATTAATTCTTCTATATATATTAGAATATAATGAAAAATATCAATTTAATGTAAAAACAAAAGATCGATTTTTGATAAAACATTACATAGTCTCAATCTGCCATTTGATATTTGTAAATTGTCAAAAATTCTATTTTCTATTTTTATATTATTTTCATAAGTCGAATATTATTAACTGAAGAAATTAAAATTCTATTTTCTTCAAATTAGAAATAAAAATAATAGGATACATAATAGCTTATTAAGTGAATTAAGATTATTATCATCATTAACAAAATCAATGACTTGCATTGTGAATATTACTTGAACGATTCTTAAATAATTAATAATTATGGCTATAGTCTATGAAACCAAAGCATTATTCAATGCATTCATTTCTGCAACCTTTCAATCATATTCAAAATTGTTTGATAGATAGAAAACTTCGGAATATTGATTATATAAAAGGACTTATTTATTAAAAAATTTGTATGGTGATTCAAAAATCTTGAATTAAGATTAAACAATTTTTATTAGAGAAATTAGATCGTACTCGATCTGTTCTAATTACAACAAGTGATTGATTATCTGCAATGAATCTAATATTTCCACAAATATCTTTAAATTAAATTATCAAGGCATTAATTCTAAAATTGATCTATGTCAAAGATTCATCTTAACACATATTAATCATACAAATAGTTATATATATAATTTTGATTAAATTATTGTTTTTTCTATCCTTCTTTTATCATAATAAAATCTTAATGCGATCATAGAGTATTCGAAACAATTCGCTGTCTGTTATTTGGATAAAAACATTTTAATCATATCTCATTTCTATATACCTGTATATTCCAAAACCTTTACGTGACTACACATTTATATTTTTATGATATATTACGTCCATCAGTAACATCTTCTCACAATACTAGATTCCAATACCCGAAAAACCTTTAATCATACTTGATGATTCATTTTTATTGACATAGCACTTTATATTTAATTTATCTATTTTAATTATGAATATCATCGATAATCTATTCAATATTAATATCACCTTTAGAATATTCAAAATGTTTCCAAAAATTATCTACATATTCAATATAAGAATGACTTCAAGATTTTATTTTGGTCGATTGATTATATATGTATCGCGTGTTGGTAAGATGCGAATGTTTTCAGAACAATGGCTTAGCGTACTTTAACTTAATTAGATGCATCATTCAATCATCGATCAATTTTTACAAATATATATCTATATTCAATTAGATTAAAATCAGCAAATGGTCTTCTTGCTACTGTTGATTATATTTTATCTGCATATGTTATATTCGTCATTGTCTTTTGGGACACATTTTACTGTTTAAGCGCAATAATTTATATCAATGTTAGAATATATCCATATATAACCTACTTACATCATTTTTATTTCTTCCACCTCTTACGACGAATAGGACAACATTTTCTTTTATTGCTTTTATCAATGTAAGAAGATCAGATACATGATCGACTATTAACAGGAACGACACTTATTTAAGTCAAAATTATTGTTCATACAACTATATCATTCATCATTAGATATATGGGTTCATTATTTATATATAGAATCTACACATACGAAACATAACATTTGAAATCAATTTATGAATTCAATTATAAATTATATCGAGTTTTTTAGAATTCATTTTATATTTATAAAATCGTGTAATTTCTATCATCCTCAATATACTAAATCGTTATTTATAAGAAAACC